GGGGGGGGGGGGGGGGGGGGTGTCATCTAAAACTTGAAGATAACAATTCTTTTTAAAGGAATATTTCCATGCCAAATATCAATAGAGTCATAAAATAGGTCAAATTTTAAACATTGGCCAAAAACTTGACACACCTAATAATTGGTACCGGGCTAGTGGAAAAGACTAATTAAATTATTTCAATGGAAATTTTTTTAACAGGCTATTAATGATACAAATTTTTCTGGGTTGAAAAGGCTGCTGTTGCTGATGGCATTTTAATAAAGCTTTTCATTTTTGCTCTTCAAAAATTAGTAGTACCGTATCAGATGTTTGTGATACTGGGTACAACTTTGAGCAGCAATAAGGGTTTGTACCAGAACTTGTAGATGCTATAGATTTTGGACCTAATCAGTCAACATATGAAAGAAGTATGCTCTCGTCAACATATTACAGAAATATGTGCTCCGTCAACAGAAGTATGTGCCCAATCAACATTTTACACAATAATGTAAACTATCAATATGTGACATAAATATGAGCTGTGTATGTAACCATGAACATAACATAAATATATGCTCTGTTTGTTGTGCCATGAAGTATGACAGGAACAATGCCTGAATTATTGTACAGCAGTTATCGAACTTGCCTGCAAAATCAGTGTTTTATTTTAATGTGTACATGTACAGTAACTGTACAAAATTAAGAGGAAATGTGATTTAATAAACAAAATGATATATTTTGTAAATGTTGTTTACATTCTATGAAAGAAAATTGCTGATAATACATCTTTTTTACACCCTGCTTTGGGGAGGGGGGGAATGTCTTTTAAAGGAACTCTACATTGTGATATGTACTCTTCAAACAGTCCTGATTTGATAAGCCCAAGCTTGTTTCTTTTAAACTAATAGTATCATGTTTATTGATACAAACCAATTCTTAAATGTTTAAATTTGTATTTTAAATGTTAAGAGGGCCAGACCAAGTGGTCTCTCTGTTCCCATCATCCAAATACTCTGTGCTTTTTATGGACAGAACCATTTACATTTCTGAACACTTGAATATATGTCAACATTTTAGCTGAATCTTTTACATGGTATTTTACATTATATTTTGATGATGATGAACACTTGTAATGTAAGAAGAATGTCTTGCAGAGGGTATGCTAAGTGCCCAGTGGATGCTATCTACAGAGTGGAGGCTTAGTGACTGGTGGATGCTATCTACAGAGTGGAGGCTTAGTGACTGGTGGATGTTATGTACAGAGTGGAGGCTTAGTGCCTGGTGGAGTGCAGAGTGGAGGCTTAGTGCCTGGTGGAGTGCAGAGTGGAGGGTATGTGTTTGGTTGATGAGTGATATGTGCAGAGTAACAAATGCTGGATGGATGTGTGTACATTTGATGCTACATGCTGAGCTATTTGCTGGATGGATTGATTATATGTGGATTGAATGGAATAGATGATACCTCCAAGGTTAAAGATTTTTGAGGAGTGGATGAATTATGCAGATTAGCTGAAGCCATATGTATTTGACATTGAATGGATTGAATAGATGAATCTTAGACCTTGTGCTCCATATTACTTCAAACTCCTTACATTTTCATAGATCATTAACAAAATTGCCATATTTAACCTTTAGTTTTCTCCATTGCTATTTTTTGTCAGTTAAATGTGTGTGTGTCAAAATGAGATCATTGAAAAACCAATGTGCAAATAAAATAACAAATGTGAGGTGTTGAGATTCTGTGCCATTGGTGATGTAAGCCACTGGGTACAAACTGCATCTGGTTGACACATTAGTTGTGGCTTTTTGTCATCAGATAGCGTGACCCCCCCTGGTGACGTTATTAGACTGTCCTGTGTACTTCATATACATTTTCTCAATTGGTACAACAAAAACCAAAAACAAATAATAATAATAATCTTGACTTGAGATATTTTAGCTTGAAAAAAAAATAAAATTTTAATATGCACTACCTAAAGCTTTTGAGTTGTGATATGATGAGTGGCTTGTGCTGGTTTTGGTTTTGTACAATGCAAATATTAATTGTATTAAGAGATTGTTTTTTTTAAAATTGACATCAAGAACTGTGGTGTGGTTTTTGTCCAGTTTTCTCATATAATGGTACCTATGTTCAACATTGTGATGAAACCACATCCCTGTAGGAGACATTACAAAGTTGCATGTATGTACAAATTCATATGCATGTTCCTATGTATGGCCTTATATTTTGTGTCCCTAGGTATTTGCATTTATCAGGGGTCACCAAACAACAAACTTTGGCTAGATTTCAGTTCATCATGCCCGCCGACGGTACTTGAATTTGCTGGATAAAACGTATGGAATACGAGGCATTGTGATACAATTTAAATATTTTGTTTAGAATACTAGAAGATCTGCTTACGCCCAGAGACCTCCTGGCTGCTATGTGCCTTAAATTTACCATTTTCAATTTTAAATTATTTCATCTAGATTCTAGATATTCTTGTTTGTTGCAGACCTGCCCACCCTTGAACTCCTAAAATCGTACAATACAGTATCATAATAGTAAATAAATTAACATACAGTATACACAATGAATACAATAACTACTAGCATCGCAGTGTCAAGTAGGATCGAGTTAAGCTGGCGTAAAAAAAGTTAACTTCCAAAAGTAGATGACCGACGTTTATATTGCAACTGCGGTCACTTTGTTTTGCAGTTTGTAGACGTGTATTTGCTATGGATATTATTTATATTGAGTAGACATACAGATCACATGATCAAAACTGTCAGTGGTAAAAATAAAGTTACTGGTGAAATTTAATGTGGTTCAAACTGGAAGTCAGATCTGCATAAAACAAGATGTACTTAAATAAGAATTATTTAACAAATGATATCATTAAAAAAAAAAACTATCCCAAGTAATTTAAGATTTATTTTTTTTAGAAAAGGCTAGTGTAAAAAATAATGATATATCCATCAAGACTATTCTCGCTAATATATTATAGTCTGATAAGTACCACAAACTGTAAATAGGTGAAAGGAAGAGGAGTGTTGGAAACATAAGGGGTACTAAAAATCGTTCGTAACAAAAAGGAACGCAACAAAACAACGAACGTGGCGGCAGGAAGCTTTCGTCAGCGAACAAACAACAGAAAAAAACAATAAATAAAAAATTGGCACTTAGCTGAGAAGTACTAACTTAGCTGCCCTTTCTAAAAGTTTATTAAGCAGACACGCCTGATAGACGCTTAGTTTTGTACCATCAGACGGAGATTATTCCAAACCCGCTAATCAATCTATTTAAGCCATAGTCGCTGCTTTTGCGATCCTGATGTTCACCTCTTCTTCAAAGGAGAGTGAACTAGACTAACTAAGAGATATGGGATCCCAATTCCAAGGTATATGGAATGCTCAGCTATTGAAAGATTATAGCTAAAATATCACCCACCCACCTCTCTAACTGATAAACAACGCTCGATGCTGCTGGGTGCTGCCCATTGCCAGACATGGGTAGATAGTACGTGGGTGGGTGAGGTCAAGCTTTTTACCCATTGTTTTTAAATGTATAATTTTCTGCAATTGCTAATTTGTATGGGCGGTA